AAAAAAAAAAAAAAAAAAAAAAGAACGAAAATCTTCCCATCATCTTTGTAGTAAAGACCAATATAAATTACTCACTTTCTCTTTCTATCCTTTTCATTGAATATCATTCCTTTTCACTGTAATCATTTTTCCCCAACTTTTAAAAAATGTTTACTGTGTTTTGAGTAGCATGCAAAATAATCTTAGACTTATTTGGAGATTTACAAACAATACCTGCTTAGCAAGTTACACCTGCCCTACTATGCAAGTGCACCTGTTCTCTCAACTAGAGTGATTGTACTTGTTTTTGAAAAAGTATTTTTTCTATATAATAGCCATTTTACTACTTTCTCAGTAAGTGCTTCAAGGTTTGTTTGGTTTGCTTTTTCTACCCAAGCACAAAGTCATTCTTGGTCCTATCACATATTATCTTGGGTTTCCAATAAGATGATTTTAAAGTCCCCAAGATTTTCATGTATTATTTAGTGTAATAATTATTTCATTCAGTATTTTTCATACTACTTCCATTTTATTGTAGCTCTTACTGCACCTTAAAAAAGATTTCTTTGAATTATCTACCTGTGCCAAAGCATTGAACATAATCATGCCCTAATTGTTATATTTACTATTATTAATATATAAGATTTTACATGAAAGGGACACATTTCCTATCTTCAAGTCAATAACTTGTATATTCTTTATATTGTTCAATGAATATTAAGAAGTTGTGTGAAAAATGTGTATTTGCTTATCAGATCATAGTAGAAACTCTACTAACATTATAATTTCTGAACTATATTTTCACAAAAAAAGGTGGAAGTACCCAATGATTCACATGAATCATATTGGAAGATTTTAACCCTCACTTCAAAAAGCAAATAGCTATAGAAATATTCTTCAAATAGATTATCAATCCATATAATTGCTGTCTACTCACTAGCTGGTAACATCTCTAATACTTTTTATTAAAGAGAGTAATGTATCTTTCATAAGTCACAGAAGTAAGTCATCATGAATTTATTCAAATTATCTAAGTTAATGATTTAGCAATGCCCCAAACCAAAGAATTATTTTAAGTAGTCACATTTAACTTTAAAAAATAAACATTTTATTACATACCTGACAAATAACAAATCCAAAACCATCTGCGGAAATATTAACTGCAGTTGGCTGTACCACAGCAAGCTGAATAAGGCGAAAAAAAGTGAATGAGGCTAATTTTCCATATCTAGATGCTTCCAAGAAGCACAAGAGACCAGTGCTATCCCTCATTAGGAGCAGAAGTAATTAATAGAAAGTGCTAACACGTTTGCTTGATCTCATTTATCAAAAGCTATGAGTCAACGGGTAAGTAAGGTGAAGGCAGAGGACGTGCCCGCACTCCAGGCCCCCTCGCCTCTCCGTTTTGGGGGAACACATTAGTGCTCTTGACAGGTTGTTTTCCTGCTGGGAGGATGAAAGACAAGAAACAAATGTCCAGAGCCTAATCCTCTGGCTTCCTGGGAACACAGTGATGTGTCATCCGTGACTATGCCTAACTTTACTCCTTCTTTTCCTTTGCCATTACCCCTATTCCTCAGTTTCCAGCCTTTAAGTTACCACCTTCATCCACTGTCCTCAACTTCCCACAAGGTTAACCAAGGGAATAAAGTTAGAGACTAGCATATTCTCATATGACATTTAAAGTAAGAATTCTACTACTGGCTCTATTGATTCTCCTAAGACCATGTGGAAAAACATGGTCTTTGGAATCGTGAGTTCAAATTCTAGATCTACTATTCCTAGTAACATGATCTTGAGCATGTTACTTAACCTCTCTTGGCCTCAGTTTTATCATGTGTACAATGGGCATAAAAGTACTTAGAGATGGTTTAAGAATTAAATGCAATAGGTAAGGTACATTGTTTCCCAATGTGACAGTGCCCATGTTTTCTCCTTTTCCGACAATCTTTCCAAAGTTCTCATCCCCTCCACCCTTCTAAAGCTCAGCAAATTCAACCAAGGAGAGTACCACTTTCCCCCATCCCTCTATGGGGTTCCAGGAACAAGTCTTTGGTTGGAGTCAACAGATTAGAAATAAAGAAGTAGTCCGGCATAAAGAATCATCTACACAGATTTTTAAATAACAACCCTTTGTCCACACCTCTGCTGTCTGAAGGAGAAAGCGGTTGTGTGTGTCAATCAGAAACTTTACAGGACTTGGTGAGCTAGGCCCCGTCACAGTCACTTGGATATTTGTCCTTTCTGTATTTATTAGGGCTGCAAATTCAGACAGGGCCTTTAAGGCCACAATGGTATCCTGCAGAGGGAAGAAAAACATTTGTGCACGTTAGGATATTTCAAAACCTCCAAAGAGTAAATTCAGTAATGTTTAGGAAATCTGCTGTACATTTATCCACCTTCCTTGAGAGTAAAACGCTCCCTGACCCATGTTTGAATCTCCTTGGCCTAGAAAGGAGAGGCTGAGAAACATTTGCTAAATGGAACTGAGCATCTATTCTTGTATCAGTTACCGCAAGTGAAAAATGGCTAATACAGATGGGGAACTGGTTTATTCCATATAAATAGCAGATATGAAGTTCACAACAGTGATGAGAAAAAAAGTAAAATTAGTGACTTAAACCTTTGACTTGAGTTACTAAACTTTTAACTGCCAAGTAATTTTATGAAGTAATAAAAATAAAGCAACCACACGCTGTCTAAAACATATACATATATAT